TTCCGTTCGATGTCCTTACACGAACTGAAATTCGCTTCGCTGATTATTTAAAGGGCCCCGCCGAGGGCCTGCGGCTTTCAAAATGGCGCTTGCTGGATCGGAAGAGGGTTCAAACTGGAGGCGAACGTTCGCACGATCTTTGGTTCAATACTTTGACACGTCGTGCGAGATACGAAAATGTTAGCGTAAAATAACTGAGACGGTTCGAAAGCAGAGATTTCAAGCTTTAAAATGAGCTAAGAGATATCGGTCTACGATTTTTTTAAACGAAGTTACGGTAGTTTGAATTTGGTGGAGTTTTTAGAGCGTGGGGCTGACCGGAATCGAATATTCTATTGGCGACACACTTTCGATTCAAAACGTTGCACAGCGGTGAGAAAAAATCGTAGCTCGATTTTTTTGATATCGTTGGAAAGCGAAGACTTTGCGTTTTCAAATCATTGGGGTATCACTGGCGAGAAAAATTTTGTGTACCCGTGAGAAGTATTCGAATGTGAAAAACTTTCAATAAACGATCATTTTCACTCAGCGTGAAGTTGCAATCGATACAAAATTCCTGGTACCAATTAACTTAAACGAATAAAAAGTGGAATTTCCACGCTTTAAATGGAGCTAAGGAACATTGCTCTACGATTTTTTTTAACGAAGTTACGATACCTTGAATTTGGTTGAATTTCCGCGCAGGTTCGCCGATAGTCGGATATGGTGACACACTTCCAGTTCAAACTGCCATAACACGGAAACAAAAAATCGTAGGACATCGTTTTCGCGCTCGTTAGAATGGGGAGACTTCCCTCTTGCTAGGCCGTGTAGTTTCACTTCTGAAAAAAATTTTCTGACTTCCTCGGAAGCACTTGAATCACCAGGTCATATTGAACGTTTAATTTCCGTTTCCGCCATTTCCAAATAAATGTTTGCACCCCGAAGACCAATAATATTCGAAAAGCAATACACTCGCTCCCCTGATTTCGCTTTCATAAAATCAGCTGGCATAAACGTAGAGATTTTTTGAGGAGAGCCGATTCCGATCGAAAGCAACCTCGGTCGTGGTGGAAGTTTTTGATTTTACGGCCGCGTAAATTTCAAACAGCTCCCGCCCGCACCTTTCGCATCCCCGGTCTCATTTCTCCACGGTTTTCCAGGTTCTCGCTTAAGCGCCGCGAAAATTCTATTCATTCTGCCGTTTCATCCGGGGCACAGAGAACTCCGTGGAATTTCATCGAGCCGGCGGCCCCAACGAATTCCAGCCGCGCGCCCTTGGCGACTCACCCTTAACCCTGAATCCTCCCTTGAATCTCGATTTGAAATGTTCCGAAATCGTTGCGGTTGTTCGCCGTCCGAAATTCAAATTGCTCGATGCCGTTCCCGGCTTCGCCAGTCGGTTTCCGGCCGAGCTGGAATTCGGCTTCTTTCTCCAACCCCCCCGTCTTCCCCCCGTCCCCGTAACTCCCGGCGAAATTTCACTCTTGGAAAAATACCATCTCTCCGTGAACCCAATTCGTTGGAAAATTTACTCGGGCCCGCGGATATAATTCAAGGAAATACCGAGTTGAATTTTTTTTTCTCTTTTGTTAATAATCATTTGTGCTGCAAATGCTTCAGGAATAGATATTATAAAATATATGATAGAAATATTCAATATAATGTAATTCAATTATATGTATAATTCAGATTCAGCAGGTGCAACCTTTATGGAAGATGCTTCCGGTTCTTTAAATTAATCAATCAAGTACTACTAATGTAACAATTTGAATGTCTGAACAAACCGAGGTTAAATTGATGTAATGATCGACAGCGATGCTACTCGTTTATATGCTAAATTGTTGCTAAATCAATAAATATGTGCTGAATGTGCATTTCTCCTTGCGGAAAAATGCCCGAGTCTGTTTTATTCTATTTTATTAGGTTTTATTCAAAATTTATTAGTTTCGTACCTGCCGGTTGTTCGGCCACGTAATTTCGAACGGTTTCGTTTCATTTTTTTCCTAAAGTTCTAATGAATAGATTATTGACTTAAATATTTATCACGTTGTTACGTCGTAACAGCAGATTAACACAAAACCTACCGTGCCGGACAAATGTATACTTTATTCTAAAATTAATGAAACAGTACATGCTCTCTGATAAGAAATGATTGAATGAATGTGTGTGTGTGTGTGTGTGTGTCTTAGTTCTAAATAAATATATTCTTGTCTTTCACACAAAGCAGGGGTGGCCAAAGCGACGACCGCTAAACTATTCCTAGTCGCCCGCCCGATAATACCTGCCAGATATTATCTATGTTTATTTCAAATTTAAACTTATTCTTGTCTCTAAACTACTACAACTTTTCTTATGATCACTTAAAGCTGGAAGACCGCCGCCTATAATTTAAAAAAGAAAAAAAGACAGGTCGCCCATAGTAATCAAAATTTCGACCATCAGTGACACAAAGCAACACACATTAGTCGCATTTAGGTCCCGGTACTTATAACCTCAAAAATCGTGTACGAGTAGCAGGATACATCAGCGTCGTTAACGCGGAAAAAATCAAAACGGCGAGCAGTTTATCCGAAAAGAAATCAAGATAACGATCGGGTATAATCGCAAAGGCGATCGCCGGGTAGTATCGGCGGGCGAGATTGAAGGCTCGGCTAACGAGTTGTTTATGGATCCACCCACCGCCTCACGGTGATCCTCGTGCCTGTGAGGTCTGGCGCGGGGATGCGAAGGTTGCCGGTGTCTGGGTGAAACTCTCGGACAAACGTAGCGAGCGCGCGGCCAGGGGAGTCCATTAACGGGCCTCCGTAGCCTTCCGCTAACATAGTTCGCATTGCTGGAGCTCCGACGCGGCGCGGCTCGGCTCGGCTCGGTGCGGCGCGGCGGCCCCGTCGTTCCACCCTAATCGGGCTCCATCTCGCTCGTTCACGAAATTCTTCCTCGGGCTGCCTTTTTGTCTCGCTTTTTCCCGGCGGCTATCCGATTGACTGTCTCGGCCGCTCCACCCTGGAAAATCATTTCTCTCCGGCGCCCCCGCCCGCGGCTCCGCGTTCTCCATTGGAGCGATCCTCCCACCCCCGCGGAGAACAGTCTTTCTCTTTCTTTCACGGTCGACCGCCGGGTTATCCCGCCGGTAGCCATGGAAACACGGGGGTTGGAGCCGCCCCCGTCCGCCAATCAGAACCCGCGGCCACCGCCGGAGAAACGAACGGCTGCTCCCCACCGTTCCCCAGCCACCTCTGGCCGCCTCACACCATCCGACCACCCCATCCGGCTGCACCCTCGCCACCCCCGCGATCTCTTCTCTCTGCCTCGCCGCCGGGGAGGCTGAGATTCTCGCTTGGGAGGAAATCTTGACCGGGCGTGCCCCGCATCCCTGATACCACCCCCGCTCTCGCAACCCTCTGCACCAACACCGCACCCTGAGAACAGTATCTCCGAGGATCGAGTGCTTCGTACCATTCGCGCGACCTGCTAGCGCCAGGATGCCGGATAAGCACACCGATGCTCCCGAATTAACGCTCCTGACCGCTAGAATGCCGAGCCTGAGGCGAGAGAATGGCTCGCCTGTCGGTCGAGAGATTTCGATCCGATGCCGCGGGCCCTCCACCGGCCTCCAGGAACCTTTCTTTATGGGACCGCGGTTGTCTCTCGCGGCGATCGGGCTCGATGATTTTTATTGCGAGGGGGCAAGATCATTTATTGCTCCGGAAGGGATGCCGTTCATTTATTTAGTATTGTTCCTTCGATTTTTTAATTTTTTGTCGGTTACGCGGTGGACTGTTAAGTTGTATAATTGCGACGACAGAGGGATCGCGGAGAGGTGACTTCAATTGTCAAGGTCACTGTCACTGGATTACTTGAAAATATTTTTGGTACACTTTGCAAACATGTTGAAGAATTTTTGGAAATGACCATTTTCACTCAGTGGACTATTTTTACGCACGGTAAAAAAATTGTATCGGAATATAATTAGTGCCGTTTGAAAGCGCAGTTTTCAGCCTTTAAAATCAGCTAAAAAACATTGCTCTACTATTTTTTTTGACATTGTTATGGTACTTTGAATTTCGATGATGTTTTAAGCTGTGACCGCCTGGTATCGGATATTTTACTGTCGATGGCACACTTTTCATTTAAAGTATTGCAGAATGGTATAAAAAAATCGTGATACTATCTTCTTAGGCTCGTTGGAAAGGGGATACTTCAGCCTTCCAATTCGCTATGGTCTGATTCGCTAATAAAAATTTTTGAGCACACCATAACTGTGTGAAGTTGACGAACTGTCCGAAAACGACGGTTTTTACTCGGCGTTCGGTTACAGGCTTGAACAAATTTTTAACGGGAAATAATTTAGGTCATTTGAAATAGGAGATTTTACCTTTAAAGATGAGCTAAAATATATTGCTCTACGATTTTTTTTAACGAAGTTATAGTACTTCGAATCGGAACAACCGGAATCGGATGTCTTACTGCCGATGGCACACTTTTGTCTCAAAGTGTTATAGAATGCCTGAAAAAAATCGTAGTTCGATTTTTTTGGTCTCTTTAGAAAGAGGAGACATTACCCTTTAAAACCACCGTGATTTTATTCCTGAAAAAAATTTTTTGTCTGCCCCAGAGGGATGTGAATTTTCGAAGTATATACTTGCAAGAATCTCTGTATATGAAGAACAATTAAAAGTGTTCAAAATTCGAAGGACACTGCAACAATAACATAATTCTATGGTTAATCGCCAACCAGGGGAATGAAGCTTTTCTTAACAACACGAATACGTCAGTCCTAAATTATTAAGATCTCGCACGAAGATCCACAGTTAATAAATAAGCATTCAGAGTCCCTCGAATTTCGTTTCATGGAAACATTTTTTATTCCTAACAAAATTTCTAAAGTCTCTGTTTAAAAAATGCTTCATCCCCACCTTTCAATTATCCATGGCCGATCACAGAGATTGGCCAGCGTTAAAATAATCGCGATTCCATTCGCCATAAATCTGACGATCGTTTCGAAATTTCTGTTTCAGGCGAGAAGCCGCACAAGTGTCAGGTCTGCGGCAAGGCGTTCTCCCAGAGCAGTAACCTGATCACGCACTCGAGAAAGCACACCGGCTTCAAGCCGTTCGCCTGCGAGCTCTGCGGCCGGGCTTTCCAGCGCAAGGTGGACCTGAGAAGGCATCGGGAGACCCAGCACGCGGACTTGAACGCGTCCCAGCGGCCGCCGATCGGCTCGATCCCGACGCAGAACTCGTTGCCGAACGGCAATCCGACGATGATGCAGTGAACGATCCGCGAGCGATCATTCTTGGGAAACTGTGAACGTCTCCTCCGCGAGGGGGGACACCGTTAAGAACGTCGCCGAAACGCCGGCGACCTCACGGAATTGTGCACGGACCTCTGTATTTATTATTTAACGACTCTCGTTCGAGCGCAACTTTGAACATTCCGACACTTCTTCTTTCCAGAATGGTTCTCACCAGTAAGAAACGGTTGTGCGCGATTGTTCTAGGAAAACTGTACATTCCACGGGCGGGAAAGCTTTTGGGGAGCGCGGAGTGTCGGCGAGCCTCTCGACTCATGCGAAATCGTGCTCACGCTCGCCGACGTTGTTCTCGCGTTTACGCGTGAATTCGATCGACAGGTCTCAACCCCTCGGAGTTTCCTTTGGCGTCTCGTTGGCGTCTCGTTCCTTTCACGTGGCCGTTTGCGAACGCTCCAACGAGCGGAGCGGAGGACGATCGGGGTGTACTACTCTCTGTGTATACTGATTTGAATACTCAAGCAGGCGGAATCGTCGGTCAGGCGACGAGGAAAAGAGGAACGTTCGAATGGAACGTTCACGATCGAAGGGACTTCTTTATTTCGTGGCGCTACTCTCCGTGTTGGATCGTTGATTAAATATCGATAATCACTGTACTTCTCTTATTAAGTAGACGATTTACGGGGGACACGTGCGATCGACGATCGATCGAGCTCGCCTTCCAAAATTGTACTTAATCGATCCGCAATCGGCGTGTTTGGTTTTTCACGAGAATCTTCGGAGGGTGGGGGGGGGGGGGATTTTTGTTCGATGTGAATACATTTCGCGCGGGGCTCGTTCGATCGTCGCCGACGCGTCCCGCGTAAAGGAAGTACGAGGAGCGTACTGTATTTTGCATATCTCGCGCACCTATCGTTCAGGAAAGGGCATCACTCACCCCAAAGTTGCAACTGTGACCAAAAAGAAACCTTGTAAATAAATAGCACATAGACTGTATCTCGCCTAGCCTAAGCGTATAAATATATACATAATATAAATACGAGTATAAATAATTCAACTGGAAAAAAAAAGAATCAAGTCGAAACTATAAATATTATAAATAGAGACGATACACGCGTTAGAGGATCGATTTGTTCTAACGAGGGTGCCGGACAATCCACCCCCGTAAGTCTCGCCAAGTAATTGTATTCTTCCTCTCTTTCTCGCTATTTCGAATGTTTTTATTGTTGTACCATTTACCTATCATTATTGTAATTATTGTAATTAGAGACTCGCTATTAATATTATTGTCATTATTATTATTATTAATTATTATTATTAATAAATGCTGTTACCATTTGTAACTTTCTCTCTCTCTCTCTCTCTCTCTCTCAGCGACGCACGTTCAAAGAATACCCCTTTCTTTCTTTCATCGGAGATCGAGCCGTGGGCCAATTCGACGGAGTTTATATATAATCGTTACTTGAATAAAAAAGAATTTATTTCAATCCTCTAACCACGAGTCTTCAATCTCGACGCATCTGACTTTCCTCTCGCGACGTCCTTGTTCAATATTCAAACCATTTCTTCTTCGTTCAGCTTCTTAGAATCGTGCGAACTGCATTTCTTCGCTAGCATGCGATATCTTATTTTTCAGGGAGCAATAAAATTTTAATTTTCTTGGTAACGTCGTCGCTTAATATCCGAACCGATTCCTCTTCATTTAATGTACTAAAATCTTGGAACGTTCAATTTTTCATTAGCGTGCAGTATCTTATTCTTCAGGGAGCACTAAAATCCTAATTTTCCTATTAATGTTGTCGCCTAACATCTAAACTGATTCTTCTTTATTTAATGTACTAAAATCTTAGAACCTTCAATTTTTCATTTGCGTGCAGTATCTTATTCTTCAGGGAGTACTAAAATCCTAATTTTCCTATTAACGTCGTCGCCTAACGTCTAAATTGATTCTTCTTCATTTAATGTCCTAAAATCTTGGAACCTTCAATTATTTCATTAGCATGCAATATCTTATTTTTCAGAGCGTACTAAAATCCTAATTTTCCTGATAACGACGTCGTCCAATATCCGAACCGGTTCCTCTTCATTTAACGTTTCAAAATCTTAGAACCCTCAATTCTTCGTTAGCATGCAATACCTTATTTTTCAGGGCTATGTCAAAAAATTTATATCCTAAAAATTAAATAAAATATTTTCTAAAAATTATTTCCTAATTGTCCTCGTGACATCGACGTCTAATATCCGAACCGTGTCTTCCTCGTTTAACTTCATAAAATCTTAGAAACTCAACTTTTTCACTAGCACACGCTGTCACCTAATCTTCGATCCTAAATTCCATGAAATCCGACGAACATGATTCTGCGCGCGAAGATCACTGCTTTCCACTTCGGACTTTGTATCTCCGACGCCTTCCAAGGTAAGTGATTATTACTAACCTGCAGATCTTTATGCAAGATAAGAATTATCATCATCTCTCACGTCAAACGGAAATTAGATAAAAATGTATTTCTTCCTTTAACATTAAATTTACTAAGCACAAAAACCAGCTGTTTTATATTAGTTTTACAAAAGTAACAATAATATATTTATTCTGACCTTTAACAAGTGTTATTGCAATATTTGCCGTAAGTAACATATAAATTGAATAACTAACTGTATATATAATAATACAATAATAATAATAATAATAATAATAATAATAATATAATAATAATATATAATAAAATATATAATAATAATATAATAATAAGAATAAAATATATCTTTACGATATGAATAATCTAAAATTCAAGAATTAGTGACCCGTCGTTTCGACGGGTTCCGTAAATCTAGTGTTAATGATGTCAGTACAGTGAAAGTAACGCTGTGCAGTGTTACAAAATTCTTGCGTCCTCGCCGTCTTCTGCGTTTCGTTGCTCCATTATTGCAACAGATCCATAAAATCCGCAGTCGATCGTCTCAATTATTAATGATTACTATTACCTCAATTATATCGCCGGCAACGTATCACCGTATCCGCGACAGGACAGCTTCTGTACACGCGATTAATCATCGACGTGGAATCTGGTAGCATCGGATCACGGTCCTCCGTGCTGGCCGGGTCTATCGTTGTAATTCAGGGTTAAACTGCCGTGCCAATTAAGCGGACTACCCTTAACGGCGAACCCCTTAACGGTCCAATATGTTTTCCGGCGAGTTTCGTTCGTCTGCGCCGCCCCCCGGCCCCCGCGCGCCCCCGTCCACTCGGTTAGTCCGTGCAGTTCTCATTATTTCGGCGAGAGCCGGGTATGGCAGGGCCTCGACGTGAGATTTCCCGGCGTGCCTCGTTCCAAGGACCTCGCGAGAACGTCCTCGACGGAGGACATCCGGGGGGGGGGGGGGGGGCGGGGGGGGGAAAAAGGGGGGAAAAAGGAGAGAAAAAAAAA